TTCTTTTTCTATTTCTTCTCTTTTGCATTCTTTTTCCTCTTTCTTCTCTAATTGCAGCCAGTAGTTCTCGAGTAAACTCCTCATCATAACCGGGACTTTCAGTAATCAGTTTATGCAATTGAGCAATCTCAAATTCAGGTTTCACGGTTAAACCTAACTCTTCTGCTAGTACTTTTAAATCCTGTTTTTTACTTCTAGCTAAGAATGATATGTTAGCACAAGTTACCTTTATTAGGCTTCCTTCTGAAATTGAATCTAAAAGATCGTACTTGTATTAAAAATGTATAAATTCTGGCGAGACTCAAATACAAAATTCACACTAACCAATTGGAAGAATTATTTAAACAACTTTGTCAGGTTGGCACAAAATAATATAATACTACGTCGGATTGACATTTTAACTCACTATTCACAAGCCTCGTTAGCTATAACTATATAGACACCTTTGACAGTTAGGCAATATAATGGAATTTTACACACGTCAGTTTGACGATTTTACTATCTCCACGCCTGGTTGGCGATAACAAAAACAATTTTTGCAATATACTATCTGTAATACGTCGGGATGACGTTACTATCTACTACACGCCTGGATTGCGAGAACTAAAAAAAAAATCCTTTGCCAATTCTGCAGTATAATCAAATTACACTATGTGAGTTTGACGTTACTACTTATTTTCCACGTGCCTGCTTGGCAACAAATTCAAAAACTCAGCTAGCAGTTCTTTTTTTTATAAATGCCGGGATGGATTACACATATCAATTATCAACATAAAAATTCAATACAAATAACAGTAAAGGCTAAATAATAATTTAAAATAATTTTTTACCACAAATATCAGTTATAAATTACTTCTACTATTTTTAGTATTAGTTAGTTATTTTAGACAGAAACTTTTACTATTTAAATAAAATTCTGAAATGAAATATTAAAATTCAATAAATACTTTTTTATGAAAACCAAAAGTTAATCTTATCTTCGGAGATCAGCAGTATCCTGTTTTTGACAATTTTTTGCTCGTACGCAAGTTATAGAAGCGCAGAAGAAACCTTGGAATGATGTGCTTCAAATCTGGCTTTAAAACGGCAGACTTCTTACATCCATTTCTCCTTGAAATAAACAAACTTGGCAATTGGTATTAGCAAACTTGTTCTAAAAACTTCAGCAAATTTCTGGGATTAGGAGAACAGCACCATCGAAATTGATATTTGCACTCCTAATTCCCAGTATTTCGGTTGAATCTCCAATTAATTAAGACTGTAATGTATTTTGCAGTAATTGACAAAACAGGTAATCTTCTTATTAGAACATAAATTTTATTTCTAGTTCACGGAGATAGATAATTTGAAGAAATTCTTTAGTGGCAAAACTTTCATACTACTCCTAACTGGTAAAAACTTCAGAATTCTAATTTTAAAGCAATTTCTCACGCTGCTGAGCAACGGTAACATAATGCAAATATGGCATTGCCACTTCAACAATAAATATAGTTATTTATTAAATAACAAGATATTTCAATGTCATAATAGAGTTTCCATAAAATTCAACTACTCAGGTTACCATAAATGATACAACAACTTGGCGATAAATGATACAACAACTTGGCGATAAACGAAACAACAATTTGGCGATAAATGAAACAACAACTTTGCGATGATACAATGGGTACCTTAAAGTTAACTCTAACCAAAACTTTTTGTTAAAGCTGTGTAGGTTAGTCTTTACTCTTCGGTTCCTCTTGGTGAATCGTTGATTTTGTGATCGGCGCCACGAAGGATCAGCACCGATCCTTTATGACGGCAACATCGGCACCAATTTCAAGATGGTGCCGACCCTTCCACCCCCTACAGAAAATCAAAACAAGAAATGAAACACTTACACAAACTTGGTGTCCATGTACACATTGGCCTGTTTTAACTTTAAAAAAAATCAGAGAATTGCACAAACTAGGCATTGCTCACTAATTTAACTTAATCCATGTACACATCGACCTATTTTAACTTTAAAAAAAAATCAGAGAATAGTACAAACTAGGCATTGTGCACTAACTTCACTTTCTCCATGTGCACATCGATCTATTTTCACTTATACATAATCAGAAAGCTAAAACAAAGTTAAAACTATCATGTTAAGCAGAAAAATTTTGCTGCTCTGTTAACACACAGACACGAACAAAGAACCAAAAATACATATTTCCTAACATAAAATCATTAAACAACAAATCTTTCAAAAAAAATTAACACATAGACACCAATAAATAAATAAAACGTCAATTTTTTAATATACATTTTCTTCATGTGCATATGTTAATGCCGCCCACCACCATCTCGTCCACCTAAGCAATTCAATTAAATATCTGGTCTTTTCGGCTCATCCGCTGTTAATAGTGGATAAATACGTGTAATATCATCCAAAAAAGCCATAAATCCGTTCCTTCTATTTTCTGTACTCCTTCCAGAATAATATACTCATTTATAACACTAAGCAAACTTTCAGGCATCACCTTCATAAAACATTACACACATGCAATCAAACACAGAACTTCAAAATCTCTGGTCAATAAGAAAGGGTTACTATTACAAAAAATAGCCAAAATTGCAACTTATCACAACACATTTGGCAATATTCGCAATTTTCCCCCAAGACTAGTTTTACCAATATTATCAACATTAGGGTTAGCAAAAAACTTACTTCATGAGCAGGCTTCCAGATGTCATGAACAATCAATACCACTTGGCGATTTTTTTCTGACCGGAACCAAACAGAACCGTACTGTAAATTTCAACCGCTGTGTCTTTCTTTGACGAGCATCCGACATTTCCTCAGTTCTTGCATTAGACAGAAATTAAAATTTCAGATCAGTAGTAGATGTTATGTTCTTAGATGTATCTTTGTTTATAGGTTAGAAATCCTTGTTTCCTTCAAAATATGCTCTTTGGGATCCATATTTCTCTCAGTGGTCATCCAATATTGGAAACATCTCTAAAAGACTTCTTTGGGGATGGACTGTACCAGTCACTCATATTACTGCAGTTTTAGCAGCTTAAATACCAGCCCTTAATTTTTTCATCTAGTGAATATGAGTCCAAGCTAAAGTTTTTGGTACTCTTTCGTTAGAGCAGTGTCAGTTAAAAATGCGCCACTTTTTTTGGCTGCCAATTCTCGCCAAGTATTAAACTATAAAATAATAATAGAGTTCAAAAGACTATAAAAGTTAATGCTGTAAAAAGTATTTTTTAAAAAAATTTCTCAATTCTTAAAGTAAATTTTTCTTTTTAATTTTGTAACTTAGAATATTCTACACATAAATAAAAAATATCAAAATAAAATACAATCTAAAGTGACCACACATCCCGCTTTTTGGAGGACTGTCCCGCGTCCCGCCGGTTTTTAAAAATGTCCTGCTTTTTAGAAAACATCTGCTTTTCTTATTTTAAATATACTGTAAAATATATTACCTATTATTTATTAATTATTATAGTAAATAAAAATAAATAAAAATGCATAAATAAAAAAACACTTAAAATGGATGCAGAGTAAACTAAATTAGGCGATGTAACGAGTTAATTTTACTCGGTGGTGTTCTATCATTTTCGTTACTTCTCGTCAAGGAATATGTATTGTTAATGGAGGAACAGCTAGCATTAGCTGAAGGGCTATTTGCTTTCCACACCATAAACCATAATCAAAGTTTCAGGTCAATTGATTGTATGTCGCAAATGGTCAAAACATTTTATGACAAAAAATTTGCATGTGCAAGGACAAAAGTTGAAGCAATTATTTGTAATGTTTTTCACTATATTCGTTTTTACAATTGCAGAAAGAATTAAATAAATGCACATTTATATCTGTATATTATGATGGTTCCAAGCACAAAGATTTAAAATTATTTCCCACAATTGTTAGAATAATAGTCATTGGTCGTGATGTGTTGGAAGTGAGTGTAATAGCTAAGACTTCGATGGCTAAAAGCTATGGTAATATGATGAGAAATGGAGCGCTTAATTACAATTAGCAGGCCTGCTCGTGCATTTCCTCTTGGTGCATGTCTGCCTTCAGTAGGTCGATCCCATCGATATGTGACATTGTTGCAGGCTCTGAATGAATTTTGTGGACCAAGCATATGTTCCTGTATGAGTACAATGTCAGGACAGAATTCTTGTAAGAACTTCTTAAGCTCGTAGGCTTTAGGGAGCAATCCATTTGCATTCCATGTAACTAGTGTTAATGATTGACAGTAATTACTCTGATACATTATTTGCAATTTCATTCATGATTTCAAAAAATAAGAAAACTTTGTCCATTGGGTCAGTAAGTTTACTTAACTTAGGCATGTATTTTTTAAACATACTGCTCATAACTGTGATATTTTGCATGCCAAAAATATTATTTAGGTTAGAAATATGCTTAATAAAAGTTACAAATTCAGAAGCTTGACGTTTGTCAGAAACACTAGTCGTAATAATTTTTCTATTATTATTATTTCTGCCATTATTACTATTCATCTGGGTATTAACCTGATTCTTAGGATAATTATTAACATCATTTATTAGATCTCTTACACTAGTATTTTGTGCAGCAGAGGACGATGCAGAGGCCTTTTTTATTGGTTGAAAGTTAGTATGGTCTTGCTGTCTTTTTGTCATTTGGGCATAAGTTAGTCTGCTTCTGATGGAATTGCCTTTTCTGGACACTGCAGGTTTATTTTTCGGAAATTTAATACAATCACGATAAGAAGCTGTATGAGGTCCATTACAGTTGCTGCAGGTAGGCATTTCTATATGTCCTTTAGTCGGGCAGTCCATTGTTTTACGTGGCTGAGAACATTTTACACAGCATGGGGTAAAAAAACAGTTCTTGGAGGAATGGTGCCACCGCTGATAGTTGTAGCATTGTGGCACCTGGTTTTTCGACTTTTACAGAAAACAATAATAAAACCTGAAACTGATATATTTTTTCTGCATTCTCATTTTTAACAACTTCAACCATAAACAGAGGCATGGGTGCTCTGGTTTTGCACTTTGTTAGTTTGTAGAGTCATTTTTTTTGGAGGCCAGAGAGATGAAAAATTAGCAGTCGCCTTCGCCGGGAATCGAACTACGGACCTCTGGTATACCGACCCAGTGTGCTACTGTTACACCACAAAGGCATGCTAGGGAAGTTGGAGAAATACCTTATATACTCCCCTTTTTAAAGGGTGACTAGCATTTTAGGGGACCTAGTCGCCAAATCCTGGGTGCGGAGAATCATCATCCACAACCCTTTTAGCTTGCGCGCCACTTGTAGAGTCATTAGGATTTTTTGAGAGGCCGGAGAGATGAAAAATTAGCAATCTCCTTCGCCTGGAATCGAACCAAGGACCTCTGGAATACCGACCCAGCATGCTACCTTTACACCACGAAGGCACGCTAGGGAAGTGGAAGAAATACTTTATAAGTTGAGTGATTTTTGCAATGGAAAATCCTTTTTCAGTAAGAGCATTAACAATATTTTGCTTGTTGGTGGTAGTTCCGAGTCCTCGTATCACGACCTTAATAGGCCTTTCATATTTAGCATTGATCACATAGTGCTCAATTTTTTTGCTTTGAAATAAGGCACTCAAAGTACAATCCCAGTTAACTCTTCGAGGGGGCAGGAAAAGGCAGTTAACTTTTTCAGCAAAATTCTTGTTTTATTTACTATATCAGTTGTTACAATGAAATTGTTTGTGACAATTACACATATTTTGTCCAAGATGCATGGGAAGAAAATGACCACTTCTGGTGGTTAGTGCCTACAGAACACATCCCTACTAATTAGTCTCTATGGTACTCATGGAAACAGTTTTCTTTTTCAAGCAGAGTGCAACTTTGCATGTGCTGCATTCCCACTCTGTTCTTACAGGGTTTTTCTTAATCCTGCAGAGTGCACGTCATTGTGATGTTGTCTTCGTCTAATTTTCTTGAAGACGAATTGCTGCATCAGCTACTGGCTTATGTTTCTTGATTGCCGTCTAGTGAGCTGCAAGATAACTTCAGAAACAGTCAGTCTTGAAAACCACTCGCATGAGTGAGTAAGGCATTCAATAGAAAAGGTGGTTACTAGAGGTAACCACCGCCCTTCAAAGACTTAAATTTCAAAATAAAAAGGAAGGTAATTTTCAGTCAAAATACAAAATTAATGTAGGTAATTAAAAGGTACAGGATCATTAAATAATCAATTTTGATTGAGAAATGAATAAAAGTATATAAAGCAAACATCAGGATTAATTAGAAACTTGGCTTTTTGCTGCTGAAATGAAAATTTGCGCCAAATTTTAAATGTAAATAAATATAAAATTGTATGATTTTTATGAAATTTGATATAACTCTTTCGTTATCTGCACTCCCATTGAAAAGTCACAAACTCATTGCCAACTTTGGAGAGTACTTATTGGCATCCGAGTTTTTTGCAAAGGCAGTGACATTTTTCAGGCACAAAAGACAATGGTTGTTTTCAAGAGGGCAATTGTGAGAATTCCGTGCAATAGCAGTCTAAAATTAAAAAGAAACTAATATTGGTAATAAACCACTTACTTTTTTTGAGAAATTCATGCAAAAAACGATAGAGAATTGCGCTGCGCAAACTCGGCTTTGTGCACTGGTCAAAACAAACATACTTGGAATGTCATAAATACCTTTTGGCAACATTGTGAGTTTCCACATAAGTAATTCGCTGACATGGTGCTTTGCCTATCGAATACTGTTTTTTCACTGCTTTTCAGTAAGGGTACAGATAATCAGAAAGTACAATTTGATATGTGGTATAATTGGCTTTAATTGATCTTTGGAAAGAATAACCATGTGATTCTGGAGAAGTCTAGTTGTCAGAAAACATAGGTTAGTACAGTTCTGTATGCAGATCAAATGTGTGTCCTATATCAAATTTCTTTTGAGATGTGTACATGTTTCACATAATATAAATGACTGTAGTTTGTTATATGGCTAACTATAGTATAAAACTGTCATTTTCTTTCTCTTTCTTTGGTTTAGTATGTGTACCTTAAATAATAGTGTAATTGAAATTAAGTTTTATGTAATTTAAAAAAATTTTTCATGTTTAATCTTGTAACTTCAAGCGTTCTGAAATTTTCTATTTTTTTAGGCGACGGCTGAATTTTTGAGAGAACTACCTTCGTATAATGAGAATAATTTTTCTCGTTTCCAGCCAGATACATCATGTAGAAATTCTGTAAGTGTTTTTTTTTTTTTTTTTTCTTTTAAATTTTAGATTATTAAGTTGAAATTAGTTTTAAAGTTATGTGCAGCATTGAATGCTAATGATGTTGATATTGCCTTGCATTGAATGATAATAATATTTTTGATTGAAATTTCTGTGCTGGAAAAACATGAAAAAATATTATCAAAAATAATCAAGTCTCTTGAGAAGTTGATATTAGAGGAGAAGTACAAATTCTTAGTGCTGTGAAAGAATTATTTTAATGCTGTTATTTTAGTGCTTTCTTTGCTTTAAGATGTGTTCCTAGATGAATTTATATCATTGCTTAAGATTTTATTTATTATTGTGAAACTCTAAAAAGCAGTTTGTGTTTGGAGAGATGTGAAAGGTTTTTTTTTAATTTTTATGGTATTGCTGCAAGACTATATAATGGTTAAGGGAGCCGACTGCAATACCAAAGAGCCCGGGTTCGAATGTCGGAGAAACCGTGGTTGTAACTGTCCCTTTTTTAATAGGAGGTAAATGTGGTCCACCTAATAGGTGCCTGCATAATAAAGTGACCACCACTTCTGGCCTTAGTAGTGGCCAAGCCGAAGTTGGCTGAGGGCCTGCCATTGGTTTAAAAAAAAATTCGTGATATGCAGGAGAAAACTAAAAATTCCTTGCAGTCATTCCATTTAGCTGTTGGGAACTATCTCTGAGGTCCAGTGGTGTAACTAGAAATCTTGGGCCCCTATGCAAACATATTTTTTTGGAGTCCCCCTAATTTACAGTATTAAAAAAAAAAAAAAAAAAAAACTGAATGCTTTTAGATTTTACGTTATGCCCAAAGGAGCGTTTTTTAACATTTTATGTGTCACCCTTATTTATTAAATATCATGTTCTTTGCACTTAACCCATAAAATTAAATTCAACAGCGATATCGCAAAATATTTAAGATACACCGCCCCATGCGTTGGAGATAATTTTCTTTTTCCTCCTGTTCAGTGCTGCCATTGCTTGCTTTGAAATCATCAAGTTTCTTAATGAAAATTCATTGAAGTTTTACAAAATATGAAATAGATAATAAAACATAAGTGTAACACTGAATTCAGCTGCTTTATCTGCTTGTAAGGGCCTCCTATCTGCGTCTATACATGGCAGGTAGTAGACTCTTTTGCATGCCCTTATTTACGCCACTGACACTGCCACTATTCATTTTTCTTGTTCATGCAGTATTACGAATATCATCATAATTAGATTTGGCAGAAATTGATAATCCGAATTAAATGGAAATTTGATGAGACACTTTAGCTGCACCCACTGATACTGATTAGCCACTGATTAGTAGTATAATGTCAATACATTTAAAGATCAGATTTTAAAACAACTATTTTTCTTAATGTTTCATTCTGGATGGGCAAAAATCAAGAGCAATGGTAATGCAACAGTTAATGCTACAAATGAATTAGTTGTTACCAAAATATTCCAAATTACTAAGGCATGAACACATGAATGAATAGCAAATGTATGTTCGCTCACCTTTTAAGATTTTGAGTGCTTGATTTATCGGGTTTTTACTTCATTGATTATGTCAGTTTGAAGTTTTTTACCTGTTAGGAAAGACATTTTTGAAAGTTTTGATTTGTTTGAAGAAGATTAAATATGCTTATATATTAAAAAATATGAAACCATATACGAAATTATAATACTTTCCAGTATAATAGTATTTATTATAATCTTATCCTCGGTATAGTAGAAGCACCAAAACATCTTGCTTTGAAAACAAATATAACTCTTTTTCAACTAACTATCAAAATGCTGTTGGTTGTGTTTGAAAGAAGAAACTAGGACTAGTCGCGCTATCGCTTAGCAATATTCATAAATACAAAAATAATCACAGAATTTAAAACGATGTACGAGTAGCGATGAATTCAGTTTCAACGACGGAATTTTTCATTTGGTTGCATGGCATGCAACGCTGACCTTATGAGCACAAAAACGCCGAACAATATGAGATGCAACACCAACCTAAAAGGGATTAAACTACAAGATGTGGCATGTTTGAAAAGGCAGTATTGTCTATTTGTCTATTTATCATCTTTATATTGAGGTGTTTGGAGTAAATACATTGGAAACGGTAAACAAAAATTTATTATGTAAAGTAATATTTTCAGTTTCTTTTGATGACTGGTTTACAGTTGCATTTTTTAAGTTTATGTAGATGAAATTTGAAATTCAAATACAAAAATTTTATTGCAGATAAAAAAGTCTTCTGTATATATAGCTACTAAAGATCATCCATCGGAGCAAAGTAAGTTCATTATTTGAAATCTAACTTATATTTTAAGTTTAAAAAAAAAGTCTTGCATTTAGCTTTATGTAAATGATTTGTACAGCTCAAATGCAATATGCGATTACGTGTTTTTCTCGTTTTACATCAAAAATATTCTTGAAAGATTTTTTTTAAAACCTGAATTAAATTTTATTGATCTTGCACAGTCAGTATTCAAGTTGTAATTTCAGCATATAGATCATATCATTAAATAGAACACTAAAAGTTTATTATAAAAGGAAAATTTAAATAAAATAAATGAAGAAATTTCTCTTTTACAGTAATAACAACGGAGAAAACAACCATTCTTCTGAGATATCTCCAACAGCAGTATGAAAAAAAGGTATTTCTTATCAATAATGTGATTTTTGAGCTAAATCTTCATTAAGGATTTCTGCTGTTTTTGATATATGTTCACTCTCATGATGAGTGTTGAACATCATATTTCTCAGCAAAATTTTAAATATGCTGCTCTGATTTATTATAAGTTTAAATGGATAGGAATTACAACAGTTTGTTTAAGAATGTATAACATTTTTCACATTAAGTTATATGAAGAAATTTCTGTCTTCTACAATTAAAATCTTTAAGGTGAAATTAGTAAAAAGAAATTATTCTTTTATAATTTCTCAGTCTGATAAAGTTGCTTATGAATAATTTCAGTTTGGTATTTTTAACAATAAAATTATATTTTCATATATATTCACTTGTGAATTAAGCTGTATTTTTAATTATTTTCTGTAATTTCTCTGATTTGGAAAATTGGCTCGTATAAATGTTTGATTGCACATTTTTACCATTTATGTGCATCAGTAGTAAAAATGTTGCAAATAAAAATGCTACAGGTAACTTAGAAAGCTGTATAAAAGCTTAGCAGAAATTAAAAAAATTATGGAATCAGGATGACATCATACAAAGCACTTCTTTTAGAGTACAGCAGCAGTAAAAAAACCATTAATTATCACAGAAATATATCTATTTTGCATCTAAGATCACAAAAACACAGTTTAATCACTATGATGGAAGCATCTAGTTTAAATTCCTTAATGACTTGAGCTTGGCTTGAATAGCTAGACTTGAGCTTTCCTTGTTTCTTTTAAATTTGTGACTTTTTTCTTTAATAGAAATTTAGTCCTAGTTGATAAATATATTAATTATTTAATGACTCTTGTAATTAATTTCCATTTCTTTGTTGTAATTAATTTCCAATGTCTGGTTGCTACAGAAAAGTCTTGAAAGAGCACGAAAAATTCATTTTCATTATATTTATATTAAAAAAATTTGAATATAAATGTAAGTAATTCTAAGTACTAATTGCATGTACACATCTTTAAAAAATAAGCCAGAAATGCATTTGGGAATTTCGAACAAAATACTCCGAGCCACTGTAAACACTCCGTGGTTTGTTCAAAATTCCCAAATTCGTGAAGAATTAAATATAAAATACATTCATGATGAAATCCTTATCACAGCACATAATTTCTTTTAAAGAATGCAAAATTGAGCCATTGAAGAAATTGTAAACTATGATCTAACAGGTGAAAACACTGTTAAAAGACCTAGAACGATTCATCACAACTCACGCTGATGGTAGTAAATCCGTACATATGTATATAGAATTTGTTTGTTGTTATACTTTTATTTCTCTTGACAAAGCAGGAAATGAACTTTGAGTTTACTGGTAAAGCAGGTTAAGGACTTTATTTATCAGCTATTATTTACTTCTTTTATTTAATCATCATTATCATTCAACATTTGCTATTAGCCAAATCATACCACATGACCTTACTTACGTTCATTTCCCTTTCATTAGCCTGCATGTGACTTCAATCCCAAAAATGAATTTTCAAGATTATTTCTCATTTACGCAAATTATGAAAAGGAAATTTCAACATTAATTGAATTTATTTAAATGACTGAAGTACCTGCAGTTAAATTTCTACAAAATTTTACCTTAAGATTAATGTAACACCAGTTTTGAAAGAAACTTTCCCATTAGCTGGTTCACATTATGTGACCAAGAAATCGCAAGTTTTAACATTTTGCATATCTAAAGACTGTGGAATAATGTGTATATATATGAATTAGGGACTGATTTTCAAGACTTTAAGACTGCAGTGCTCAATTCACTTGCTTTGTGAATTTACGAACTTAGCTTTGGAACTCTTGAACTTTGCCAAGATAACAGTGCCGCCTCCGGGTGTAAGAGGCGATTGCACCATAATTAAAAAACTTACATGATTAGTCTTAGAGCAGTAAACTAAATTGACTAGTAAAAACTCGCAATAGTTGATGCTAGTAGCAAAGTGATGATCCGTATTATTTTCACATGTCTCGCTGCTACATTTTGCATTAAAATGTTATGTGATAATATTTTAACATCATAGTGTTTTCCCCTCTCTCTCTCTCTCCTCTTTTTTTTTTTTTTTTTTTTTGCTTTATTGTAATTTAGTCTCGCTATTTTGTTTTCAATGTTCATCTTTACAGTGGATACTATCAAACTTCTATATATTTTGAAGTCGAAGTAATACTTTATTGTAGAACAGAACCTTGACGATTGATCATTTCCCTATCTATGTTGTTTGCCATTTTGGGCCCGAAATGAAATCCTGTATAAATCATATTATTTAACTCCCATCCTTCATTCCTAAAACAATTATTTTATGGCATTAATCACTCATAAATCTCATTCCTGACTTGATTGTTTTGAAAAAAAAAAAAAAAAAAAAAAAGAAATGAAATAAAATACATATTTGTTATTTGGTAGTATAATAGTTAGCAGCACTTGTGATGCTGAGCTTCATGTCTTTGTAATTAGCGTCATTTCTGAATTTTGTTTGGTTAGAGAATTTCTGTATATTTTCATTGGTTTATTCCTGTTAGTTTTCAAAGTTCTTAAGTGACTTGGCAATTTGTCTTTGTAAGGAATGTAAGACAAGATTGAAGATGAAAATAAACAAGAGTAACTGAGCTGGAAACATTTTAAGTTTTGAAAAGTGATATTTTCAGCCCTGGCAAAATTTGACCGTGAAGCAAAGAGCAGTGCTTGACCTTTTGTTAAAAAAAATTAAATAAAATTATAAAAATACTTAGAAAGAAAGAAGTATTATTCATTTACAATATGCTATTTAAATATAATGTGTAACAGTTTGCTGGCTGAATAGTGTTATTTATTTTCTCAATCCCATTAAAACAATGATAGATTGAAGTTCAACTATATATAATCTTAAAATATAGTTCTGCCTTTCTAGGTTTCTTTTTTCCCTGTACTTTAATCCCCTGATTTAAGTAAATTCACAATAATGGAAGGGCCTAAAAGTCATAATATTCAAACTGAAACCTACCAATAAGAAGTAAAAATTTTTATTAAAAATTTAATAAAAAAGTTTTATAAAAAAATTTTATGGGATTCCATTGAATCCTCTCTTCCTTTGGAAAATCACTGCATTGCTGTTAATCCAGAATTAGCTGACTAACCATTCTAAATCATTTAACATTACCATTGCACAAGAAAAATCTGAATTCCTCCTTAACGCAGTTGATTCCCAAATATTATGAAATAGTACAAAAACAAATCTTTATGTATTAATTTAATGTCCAATAAAGGAAAAGAATAATAATTAGACATATTTTACTGAAATAAGCATAACTAAAACGTATTTATAAAATTAATATATAAACTAATAGAGAAATGAGAGCACATTATGCTAATGAAGAAACAAAACATCAAAATTCAAAGAGAATGCCAATGATTGCCAGTTTGGTGATATTGCCGAAACAAATTGTATAATTATATTTTATAATTCTGGATTCAAAGAAATTCAGTGATTTTCGTACGGAAGAGGGATTCAATTGAATCTGATCTACCTCCTCTTGACAATATTGAATCAGATTTTAATTGCATTCTTCTGCCTATATATATATATATTGTTATTTTTGTATTTCCTTTCTCTGTACTGGTTTGATAAATATTGGTTGAGTTGTACATATTTATGGGGAAATTTGGATTTTATTGTTAAATTTTTTTTTAAATGTCTTTGTAAACTTAGTTCTAAATTTCTTTCTTTTTGCCTATAATTGATTCATTTTCAGAAGCTTTTGTGCAGAAATGGTATTGAGATAATTTGTTTTAAAAATAAAAAAAAAAAAAAAAAAAAAAAAAAAAAAAGTGATACTTTTTGTGTATATATATATATCACAAACCTTTATGTTAAAAACATAATTAGTTATGGTATTTTCACTCAATACTCAGCTGAAAATTGATCAGATGTTACATAAAGACCCCCCCCCCCCAAAGTGAAATTCAATACCAATAAATTTCAAAATATCCTATAAATATACAAAATAAGAATTAAAGAAGTATGAAATTAAAACCTAAAAATTGTAAATACCTAAAAAAATATACTGAGAACAGGAAAACATTTGAAGAGGAATTCAATTAAATCCGATGTGATATTGTCAAGAGGGGGTTACATTAGACTCGATCACAATCACACTTGAAAACTTTTTGCATTTCTGTATTCAGAATTAGCTAATGAAGTGTTCTAAAGCTTTTTAATTATAACAGTTCATCTGAAAACTCTGAAAAACCTCCTAAATTTCTTACTTTTTGTTTACATATATATAATTTATTTACTAATGGAATATTGAATGTATTATCTTCTTGGAAAATAAAGTAGTTAGAACTTTATTGTAATAAATTTACTCATTAATGTATTTGAAATTGTATAATTAAAATATTTTAAAAACTAAAAGTGCAAATGGCAAACTAAGTAATTGTCTCTATAGACCAGAAATTTGTTGACTTTTCAAGGGGAACAAACAAATTTCCGATCAGTTAACAATAATTAATAGATGCGAAAGTGTTTCATCTTTGTGATGATTGATTTTAAAAGTTTCTTTAGTTTGCTGTCATCCGTGGTGTTAATCCAATGATGGGACTTCTTTCTTCTCACACACCATATATATAAAAGAAGTATTAATTAGATTACGAAATATTTACATAAGATTAATATTAATTAAAGTCAATTGGAGAGTACACACCTGCATATTATCGTGTAGTCCTATTAAGATATACGGTGAGTGCATGCCTGCGATAATCGTGTAGTCACCTCCGACGTTGTCCAACCCTAACTAACTCTTCCCTGCGGCAATCAATCGCCAGATGGAGTTGTACAAACTTTTCCCCTCGAATACCAGGGGGAGGGAGGTACCAGACAGTACAGTCTTTTTCTCAAGTAAGAATCAAGACTAAAACCTTTTGTAGGCATTTTAACAATTGCAGCACTTTTGGTATGGGTGCAGCTAAATTTGTTTTTGCTATGCCAGGATCTGAAAATTGCATTGACAAGCTGTAATTGGTAGATTATGTTCAATTTAAAAGTGAATGAAAAAAAGCATTTGTCTTTTATAGCATCTGTTTCATTATCATTTGTGAAGAAATTTATTTCTTTAGGTTTTGTTGAACTAATTTCTTTATGCTGTTGAAATAACATGTGGGATTTACAGTTATCCTTTCTGCCGTGAGCAACTGAGAAGTCTCTGTTGCATAATGTGCACAGAAATTTTCAATGCTAGTGCATGGAAATTCTGTAGAATATGAATTTTTAAATTTCTAGGGTGATAATTTTAGCATCTTAGTTTGAGGTGGCTTAGTTTACCCCCCCCCCCAAACAAAAGTTGAAATTTGTTCAATGTAATTTTAAAGATAAGTAAAGATTGTAAATTTAATTCAAAAGATAGTAAAAGATTGTCTGGAATATCAAATGAACTGATAATTTGCCAGACTGTGTAAATGATGAACAAAGTTTCTTATGCTTCAAAGAATGACAGAACTTGTCGACACTAAACTAAGTTTTAGAAATCATAAAGAGGGGGAAAGTACTATAGGAAAAATGTACTGTATGTATGGACACAAATTTACTTTTAATTTTATTTGCTTTAAGTTTATTTTACTTCAATCCTGCATCTGTAGTGCAGGACGGGTTTAAAAAATTTGTTTTCAATTTTTGCCTCTTTAAGTTTCTTTATATATATATATATACGAGGCATATTCGGAAACTAAGTACCGTTTTGGGGGGGAAGGGGAAAAAAAAAAAACAATTTTTTCGAATCCAATTTTATTTTTACATGAAAATACATGTCTTAAGCTATTTTTCAACATAGTTTCCGCCAATGATCAAACACTTGTCATAGCAACCAATTTTTGTATACCATCGTCAAAGAAACTTCCCGCCAGTTTTGATAACCACGACTCCACAGCATTTTTTGTGTCATCGTCAGATCCAAAGCGCTTGCCACCAAGCTCGCGCTTCATGTGCAGGAACTAGTGATAGTCGGATGGCGCCAAGTCCGGGCTGTATGGCGGGTGATTGAGTGACACCAGCAGTATGGGGCCGAGCATTGTCATGGAGCAACACAATTCCTTTACTGAGCATTCCTCTTCGTTTGTTTTGAATGGCATACCTTAGTTTTGTTAAAGTCTCACAATATCGTGCCGCATTAATGATTTCACCTCTGGGAAGAAATTCAGTAAGCAAAACGCCTTTCCTATCCCAGAAGACAGTGCACATGATTTTTTTGTGATGACATTGTCACTTTGAACTTTTGTTTTTTCGGAGAATGAGTGTGTCTCCACTCCATCGATTGTTGTTTCGATTCTGATGGGAAATGACACACCCAAGTTTCATCACCTGTCACAATTTGGTTTAAAAAGTTTTCTCCTTCATCACTGTACCGCGTGAGAAATGTCAGGGCACTACCAAGTCGCTTTGTTTTGTGAACATCAGTGAGCATTTTTGGAACCCATCGGGAACACAGTTTGCGATTATTCAAGCGATCAGACACAATTGCGAACAAAACAGTACGTGAAATTTGTGGAAACGCCTCTGAAAGAATTGTCATTGTGAAGCGTCTGTTCTCATGAATTGCTTCATCAACTTTCCTTACCAAATCATCGGTGACAACAGAAGGCCAACCACTCCGAGCCTCGGCGTGGACATTTGTTCGACCTGCATTAAACATTCTTACCCACTTTCTCACCATTCCATCACTTATCGCGTATTCACCGTAAACTTCTGTCACTTGACGATAAATTTCGGGCGGTTTAACATTCCTCGCGTTCAAAAATTTAATCACGGCACGAATCTCACAGTCAGCGGGAGAACTAATTGTCGTAAAACAGTTTGAATGTGCACAGCAAACTGAAAACACAACATAGAGCAACCAAAATGGCGACAAGTCAGTGAACAAGAAAGACTAGTGCGCATGTGCGGAATGACCTACCACAGTGCTGCAACGGCTCTAGAATGAAACAGTACTTAGTTTCCGAATACGCTACGTATATATATATTTAAAATGCAATTATTCAAAGTATTTTCTCAATTTATTGGTATTAAATTTCACTTGAGTCTTTGTAAAGTGGGTTCTAAATTTCTTACTTTTTGTCTCTGTCAATATATATATATATATAATTAATAGTAAAACATATATATATTTATACACATACACATAATTAGTAATAAAAACCCTCTGCCTGTATGCAGTTTATTTGGGGTATACAAGAATGTTTTTGTGTGTTTGGAAATTCCGGTACAATGTATAAATTTTATCTATTTATTTATATTTACAGATGATTGAAATAATGCATGGATTACGTAAATACAAATTATATTTTCTTGTGCTGTTTGCTGATATAATCTTTTCTTTTTTACAAAATTTCAGAAGAATTTTTTGAAACGACAAAATGACTATCCAGGGACAAGTGGGGATTTTGATCCAGTACCTCAAAAAAAATCTCGATTGCAAATAGAAGACTAATAGTGAACCCTGCAATTTGCCAAATCTGAAAATCGTGAATTTTCCACTTTCATTCTTTTTGTTTTGTTTGTGTATGTGCCTATCAAATTGATATGCACAATCTGCTTTGTTCCTCGTTTGTATATTAAATACTCTATATTTTGTATTAATTAGAGATGTAACTACTACCTATTGCTAAGTGTACCTTAAAATTATTATAAATGTACCGTATCTTTACACTTTGGTTTCCATTTTGATTTTCTTTTTATTTCATTTGTATGGTGCTGATATTTTTACTAGCCAATTTTTGTATATATTCTGTTTTGATGTTTCTTTGGTTGAGCTCATACAGCTAATATTAAAACAAAGTTCTTTATTTCTTACATTTCCAAAGATTTCCATGTAACCATCTGCATGCAGTGTGCTATATTAATGTGTTTAAGCACAAATACTATGCAAATTCATAAGTAAAAATGTGACTGTGGTATTATGCAATAGCAGCAATATGTAAAATCCTTGTTGCTCCCTTTTATATATGTTGGTTTGTAGCATTTGATGGAAAAGATGTGTTGAATAAAAATGAGTCATTCTTCCTTTGTGTCAGTTATTAAGTATTAGTGAAAGTACTCGATGCCAGTGAAGTTAGATCGAGAGTAATGTGTTATTTTACTCATGCCATCATTTGAAAATTTGTATAATAGCATATTGCACATCATAAGGAATATGATGTGTCATTGTAATTCATAAAAAATGCCAAAGAAAAAAGTTATATTCAGTACATGTATCACAACTGACTACGTAATCATAGAATCATATGGTATATATATACCCATATGACATATGAAATTGCATTTGGGCCCGCAAAAATAAAAACAAATACATCATTATTTTGAAGGAAATTTTTTTAAATTATTTTGAAAGATATGGAACGTGCGTAAAAATTTTAATAGAAAAATAAACTGATTCTCTGTAATATCAGCACCAATGGCTGGCCATTGTTGCTGATATATCACTGTTGCCATTGTTGCTGATATCAGCACTGCTGACAAAAAAAAAAAAAAAAAAAAAAAAAAAAAAAAAAAAAAAGAAGAAAGAAAAAAAAGAAAAGAAAGCAAAAATTAGCAGTTTAAGCGTTTTTAATTAATATCTGTGATTTTTTTTTTTTTTTTTTTTTTTTTGGAAAAAAAAAGTGGACGTTGCACTTTTCCAGGACCCAGAAAAGAATTGTAGAATGTTTGGTGGTGATAGCTTTAGAGTGACTGAGTTAGTGACACAGACTTTCTTCTGTATAAATACAGATTATTCTTAATTCTCTGATATTTCTGTCTGCCACTAAAAAAGAAGTGTTTTCAAATTTGAACATTAAATATATTAGGAGGAAAAATATTTAACTCATTTTATACTTTCAGGAGGAACAGCATAAGTTCAAATAAGCTGCGAATTCCTATACGTAATCTAGAAAAAATCAAGTTAGGTTTTCAGCATTGTTTTATTTCCCTGTTTCGTTACTGTAAACACTTCCTCAACATTTCGCCAATCTTGCAGTTGGAAAATTATTAATCAAATTGCTTATACTTATGTTAGTGACTGTTTATTGCAGTAGAACTCCAATTATCCAAATCAATTGGGACCAGACCCCATTCGGATAATCAAATATTTGAGTAATTGAATTTTTTCCGAAAGAAGGGTCTACATACACTTAAATTAATTATTATATATACTGTATATTGAAAAGGGAGAAAAAACTATTTTTAAAGAAAAGAAAGGTTTTAATTAATTAAAATGAAAAGGCAACACTTTTGCATGCATGTTATACTACAGCGTACTGTACAGTACTTATAAATGCTGAAAGTCATTGCTTGCTGAACATCTCAGTCAAAGTAAGCCATTTTACTCTCTTCATCCGCTTGGCAATGAGAAGTTGCATGTGGTCACACTCTTTCTTTTCCAGAGACTTTTCTCTGACCTCAACGCACTTGCTTCCCAAGCTAGTATTGTGATTTTATAAATTATTTCCTGTGGTTTAAATTTAATGTAAATATACTTGGCTGTAATCAAAAATAGAAATCGTGTAAAGTTTTATTTAAATTAAAATTATTTTCTGAATATTTTGAGATGAAATACAAATAAAATAAGTATGAATGGGAAACAAATGATCCGTACCAAAGCCAAAAAGACCAAGCCTCCCCCCCCATTAACATAAAAAAACCACAAATTTCATGTGCCAGATGAAAAGAAACTAAATAACGCTGGACTTATACCAGTGAAATTTAGATCCAATCAGTGTACATTTTGTAGCACAAGGAAGAAACGTCATAGAAGAAGATTTATGTGCGAAACGTGCAATGTGGGTCTATGCATGAACCAAAAATACAAAACATGCTTTGAACAGTGTCACAAAAAATATTTGCTCTTTGAAATTAAAAAAAAAAAAAAAAAAAAAAAAAAAAAAAAACTGAGTCTTTTTTTATCCTTATTTTACTGAGTTTTTTAATCCATGTAGCCAAACATCCTCATTATGTAGGTACTTATACTTTCAGTGCTATAGAAAAATTACATAAATGTTTATTTTTAAATTTTTTCTGAGGATTTAGTTTGTAAAATAATGTAAAAAAAAAATATATTATGCAATTCTTACATGCATTTTTTAAAAAATTCCTAAATTTCGTCATTTATTGGAAACGCGCACAGAAAAATGCAAGGTTTTTTTTTTTCTTACTACCTAGGTAAGTTTCAAAGTCCTAGACGTGCGGTGGTTTCTTAGTACGACCAACCACCTACAAAACAATGGCAAGAGTAGATTTTTTTAAAATTCATATATTATTTGTCTCTAGGATCATAATATTCAATTTCTAGAGTTTTAGTTAAAAAAATTATAAAAATAATATCCCTTGCGTCAAAGAGTTAAGGTCTTCTTCTTCCTCCATACTTTCTTCTCTCACACTTTCAATAGGCTTATCATCATTTAGAATTTGAAACCCAGGATCTGACGAATCGCACACCATCCATTCTGCTATATCCTCGGCCCTAACTTTTGAACATCCAGGAATTTTCCAAAGAAAGTTTCTTAATTCATCACATGACATGTCATCCTCATTATTTGCTGTCTCTTCCCTTTCCTTTTCTCATTTTCCTTCTCTTCTTCAGTTGATTCTGAAAAATTTTGAAAGCGATTTGGATAATTGGAGTTGTACTGTAATTACCCCCCCCAAAAGGATACTGTTATGAACTGGATTTAAGAGGATTGCAGAAAACTGCAGTTATTTTCAATTGTCAGACATGTACATTGACTCTATTTAGTAAAAATAACTGGTGCAAAATATGTAACTATTTTGATAATTTTTGATTTGTTAATCCTTAATTGGTATATTGACTGTCACATGAATTATATATTGTTCACATGCTGCAATATGAGGGGCTGTTATACAATAATATTATTTAAAAAAATCCTTGCATTCCAGCTGCAAGGTTTTATTTCTGTTTAGCCTATCATATTATCATTTAGCCCATACTAACTATTCCGTAAATCACATACTTTGTATATTTTTTCTGGAATAATTTAGGAAATTATGTTAATTAAATAAGCAGCACTAAGGGACTGAGTATTTATTTCAAAGACAGTAAAATTTTTATTTGAGTATTTCTTATTCTGTACACTTCAGATAGACACTAAAACTGGATTTTGCCACATCAGAAAATTTTGTTTTGTTTTGTTTTGTTTGCATGAACTTTTATAAAATTCTGAGCAAATATAAGCTGATAATAAACATGCAGGTACCCATTAATAAATACTATTATTTCTTCCATTCTAAGACATCCACTTTTTTCTGGCTGAAAACAATGAAAAATAAGTTCTAATAACCATAGTTTTCTAAACTAAGTATTCTGAATTAATTTATCTGAATTATTAATTTAAATAGCTAATTAAATTATTTAATGTCGTTAATTATTATTGTTTGCAGTAACATTATTTAATGTTTTTGTTAATAGTCCAAATTAATTATTTAAAGGTATTTTTAGATAAATTTTATTTTTTTAAATCCAAGGTCTTCTGATGCTGTTCAAATTGAGGAGTGCATCTTAAAATCAAAGAAATGTGGTAAATGAGAGAAACTCATAAATGGAGATTTTTATTTCTATCATTCAGGAACTTAAGAAGCAGCAATTTGAAATTTTGGCAAGTCATCTAACATTACTGAATCATCAGATATTAATTAACAAAAAATTTTTTTAGTTGCTCATCTGCTGCTGTTTAAGAGCTTTTCCCCCATTCATTACACATTTCTGAGAGCTTAGATTCATGTATATGTTTTTTAGAAATCCTTATTATTCAAGGTCAGAAGACCTTTCTTCATAGTATATTTCTGAAGTGTGTGGGGCAGGAATCTTTTTTTTGTTTTTTTTTTTTTGTTTTGTTTACAGCAGGTGTTTGATAACATACAGATTTTGGCAGAGTTCAAATTTAGATCGGCAATGATTTTAATGAAATAGTCATGCTGGGAAAAAAAAAAAAAAAAAAAAAATCTGCATAGGATGTCATCTCTTTGTCTACAGCATTGAATTGAAATGTAGACTAATCTGGACTTGAATTTCACTTAATTTAAAGACATTTAAGTATGAATAAAAAATTAAAATTATTCTTACCTTAAAGAGCTTTATATTAAAAATATTTTGACCATTGGAGAATATCAAAGTGTGGTCAACTGATGTAAAATTTTTTTATTCTATTAAATTATTTTTATTTAAAAGTTTTCCTTAGAAAGTCCTCCACAAAGGCATCCCTTCCCTTAGGCAGATAGCCCTCCTTTGCCATAATCACATAGCCAATTTTAACTTAATTGAAGACAATTTAAAAAAAATTCAGATTTTGCATTCAAGAGATTTTAATAAAAAGGGTATGTAGCTGTTGAAATCACAGGGGGATTTTCTTAAATACTTTATCTAGAGTAAAAATGCATTTTGTCTATTTTATTCCATATGGCAATTTAGAATTAAATTATTCTTCTCCTGCCTCGGTAATCCACCTAACTAACCCCTATAAAAAAATGTTTCATGGACTGTCCCCTACTAGTTACACCACTGTTTTTATTCATCTTCCACTACTTTTCAGAGTCCGTCAATCATGATGGATTCACTTAGAAGCTCTTTTCAAGAGAAAAGCACAGTAGTTCATTGATGAAATGTCACGGAACTTTACAGGAATATGCTGAAAAGGTATATATGCAATACCTGTATCGGTCTTCATTTTGTTAAGGAATGCAGTGGTATATGACATATGACTTGTTGCTTTGTCTTGGTGAAGTTTTACTCTTTGAATGTTGTTGGAATAAAAGAAATAGAATTTCTTCTGTAAATATAGGATGCAAAACTTTCTCTTGGTAGTACACTGAGTTGATTTTAACCTTTTTCCTACTTTTCTTATTTTTAATTTACCATTTTAAGAGAATCTTTACGACAATCATAAACCTCTTACCGAAATTTTCTTTGCATTGATGGAACCAGTTTTGTACATTTTTTTCTCTTCGTTTTTAATAATAATTTTTGGTATCGGTCATTTAGATAAACCCACATATAATTAAGAGTAACAATAAAT